ATGGCGACCTGGGCTGCGTTTAGGGTTCAGGGTTTAGGGTTTAGGGTTTAGGGTCTAGGGTGTTTAGGGTCTAGGGTTTTTGGGGTGTTAGTCTAGTATACTTATAGAGGGACCCTTAGGGAATACTACTAGTAATTCTTCCGATCCCTATAGTACGTTTTGCCAGAACCCTCGGCTGATTACCTTCCGACTCTGGGGGGGATTTCGCTCCCTCTGTAGGTGGGACCCCAATCGGGGGTCCCACAGGGCGGGGGGGCGTCGGGGAGGGGGTGGCGTCACAGGGCTAGGGGGCAGGAGACCGGATCTGCTGGTTCCAGACGCTCTCGGCAGGAAGCCGTGGCGAATATGCCTCAGTGCTGCTTCAAATTCAGCATACTACTTTCAAGGATCATGAAACAACCTAAACCAACTGTAACACCAACACCCGGCCTTATTGGTAATCACACAGAAGCTGAGTGCCATTTTTGCTCCAACCTTGCAAGATGTAGGACATCTGAGAGCGAGGACTCTGGTCCGATGACTTGTTGATAAGAAGCAGAAGGTGCGCAGTGGAGTCCTCGGTTACGGGTGTTAACGGTTACTTGTCCCTCGCTAGATGCTGGAACGACGAGGTCTCACGCCAGCCACAAGCATGCTGTGCTGTGGGCCTCGTGAAGCTACCCCGATGGCTCGCTATGCACAGCTCCTCCGAAAAGCCACGATAGCTACAGAGGAGGCCTTGACCGTGTGGTTCCCAATGTACGTTCTCCCGCTGGCCAGCCTGCTGCAACTGAGGGAAATGCGGCCGCATGAGGAGCTGATGGCCGCTGGAGAGCTCCTGGAGTTCGACGACAGCCTCGGAAACGCGGTCTTTGTATCGCACCAGTGGCTCGGCGCTGATCATCCAGATCCGGAAATGAAGCAAATGTCCGTCTTACAGGGTGTCTTCACGCATCTGATGTCCGACCTGCAGACGATTCCCGTGGATTTCATTTCAGAGGCCCTGGTGCCGGGTGCTAAGGGTTTGCCCACAGCAGAGCTCCGATCGAGACCTCTTTTTGTATGGTATGACTATTTCTCGTGCCCGCAGGCGGAGGACACGAGTATCTCTGTTGAACGCATGAGGAGATCGCGTAGCAAGCTTTGCCGCGCTGTGGACAGTATTCCGGCTTATGTGGCCAAGTCTTCGTTCTTTCTTGCTTTGTGCCCCATCGTTGAGAACACTAGCCGGTCGAAGCTACTGACTCCGACAACGTGGACAGAACGCGGCTGGTGTTGTGCCGAAAGGACCTTCCGGGAGCTTTCCCTGAACAAGAGCTGGATCATTGTGCGGAGCCACACGGACGCGCAGCTGGTCGTGAACCCAGTGGAGTCGCTTGGGAAACCAGCGGGCGAAGGAAGCCAGGGTCGCGTTAAGGAAGCTTAGGCCTAGGCTTAAAGGTGTAAGCTTTGTATTCAAACATCTTTGGCCAGTCTGCGATGTTTGTTCATTTGCACAAAAAAAGTGTTTTGTTCAGAGGTTCACAGCAGCGTTCAAACATGTGAAGATTTTTAAAGCACACTTGTGCCAGGCCATAGCGAATATGTTTAAATCAGTGATGAGATATGCGCATAAACTGTCTCTTGGGTGCCATTCATCCCGAATGTGTCTAAATCCAAAACGCAGGTTTAAACTAGACCTTCCGTCCCAAATGTGCATACACTCGCGTTTGAACATGTGTTTCAGCTATTTGTTGAGCACCACACACGTTCTGAGCATATCTCTAAACCATGTGCTTTAACTGGTCATTGAGTGCCACAAACCCTAATATGGTTAGAACGATTTTTAGACATGTAGCTGTTCCCTGAGTGCCACACATTCCGAGTATGTTTAAACCAACGTTTAAACGCATGGTTGAGTTGTTCCTTGAGTGCCACACATCCGCGATCTGTTTAAGCATGTGCCTAAACATGCGTGTCAACCTTTCCTAGGTGTTCTTCTGCCAGTATTTAAACATGTGTTTAAGCTTTGCTTGCGTGTTACGTTCAAGTCCAATAGAGTGTATGGTGCAAGTGCTCCGGATTTTGAAAGAACAAATGTAAACGTGGGTTGCCTCGTGTTTGCTTTAACCCGTTCTTTTTTTAAACAAGCTTAGGCGGTTTAAGCATGATTGGTCAGAGGGTTGCCTGAGTGCTTTGGATCTAGAACTAAACCCTAAACCCTGAAAACCCTGAAAACCCTAAACCCTAAACCCTAAACCCGAAACCGTAAACCCTAAACCCTAAACCCGAAACCATTTTAGACACATAGGTTTTGAACAGTTAGGCTCGTGTTTGGTTTAATGGGTGTGAACAAGTTTGATTGCTATTGCACCTGACCGGTCAGAGGGTTGCCTCGGTGTAAGCATTTAGCATTCGAGAACCCCCGGCCCAAGCTTGAAGGAAGCTTCACGGTGGCGGGCGATCGCTGCCGGCTGCAACCCCTGCTGGAGGCAGGGCTGATGCGCATCCTCCAGAGCCACTTGAAAGCCCAGGACTTTGTCGGCTACCGCGTGATGCTCAACCTGCAGGCCGTGTACCTGAGAGGCTACGCTTCGGGCCTCTGCGAGCCCGTCCCCGGCTTTTCAGAGCAGGACGCTCCTTTGCCCCTCGCCCTTGCCAAGTTCATGTACCAAAATGGCTTTGAGTCATTTCAGGAGGTGGACCGGGCTGGATGGTCGCCCCTCCACTATGCTGCCCTGCTCGGGGATCCAGCGGTGGTGCAGGGTCTACTGGCCCAAAGGGTAGACCCCAACAAGACGACACAAAAGGGCCAGTGGCGGGTGGGTATGCCGCCCTGGACGTCGGCGCTGGCCCTGTGCGTCTATTTCAAGCACAACAGCGCCGCGCGCGCCCTGATCTCCGCCAAGGCCCGGGTGCAAGCTGGGCTTCTCATGCCACCGCTCATGACCGCGGCCTTGGCGGACAACCCAGAAGGCATCCGCATCCTGTGCGATGCCGGCTGCAAGCTTCATGCCCGGAATCTCGTCGGGGCCGTTGCGCTCTATGGCGCCGCAAGCCAGGGCTCCATCCTTGCGATGGAGGAGCTCCTGGCCCAGGCGCGTGGTTGTGAAGACCTCCAGCTGGGCCCTGCGCTGTGCTTCGCAGCCATGTTTCATGGCTGCAGTGCCGAGTTGGTCCACCGGCTGGTGGAGCTAAGGGCGGACGTGAATGAGCGCTTCAATGCCTGGGAGGTTTCAAGGCGCTTTGGAGTCTTCAACTTCCTGCATCAGCTTCCCCACCGCTTTGGCAGAAACACAAAGCTGGCGAGGTTCAGTTATCACTCACAGGGAGCGACGCCGCTGCTCTTCGCCCTGCTATCATCCCAGTGGGAAGGTGCCTCGACCTTCATTTCTGCAGGGGCACGCCTGGATCTGCGTAACTCGCGCGGTGTTTCACCAGCAGACGTGCTCCGAGAGGTGAAGGCACCCGACTTCGTGATGCAGGCCATGGATGGAAATTTGGCCGGCTGTGAAAGAGTGGCGGCGCTTGCATGCAGAAGCCGCACTGAGATGTAGTGGGATGTAGTCTTCACGCATCACAGTGCGCAGTGTGACAAAGACTACAGAGACGACAGTTTTTGCCTTGGAGTCGCGAATCTTTATAAGTGCTCCCTGTCAAATGTCACCCGCGTTTCCGGGCGAGAACAAAGGCAGCTTGGATCCAAGACCCAAGGGTTTGAAAGGGACAGTAGCATACTTCTACTCTTCTCTACTCTACTCTACTCTACTCTACTCTACTAGCCATGCGATGCTATACTACTCTACCCTGCTCGACTCTCCTCTGCTCTGCTCTGCTCTACTGTACTCCATTACATATTCATGTCGGAGATTCACCTAACACCTCGAAGGATATTCATTTACGTCCTGCGGGCCCTGTGGTTCCATGCAAGAACATTCAGCTTGGAAGAGGTGTTTACCATGGTTCTGCTTGCACGTGAAGCGAATCTGGTCCCTGTGTTTCAAACTTCCCGCGGACCCGTCGCCCTAAACCCTTGCACCGCGCACTTGCAAGAATGTTAGTTGTCAGTTGTGAGTCGAAGTCCCAACCTCCAATCCCCTGCCGTTGCCCCCGCCAGACCTAAACTTAAACTTTAAACCCTGAACCCTAAACCCCGACCCTACACCCTAAACTCTGAACCCTAAACCTGGAACCTTAAACCCATGTACCCTAAACCCTGAACCCTCCACACCCTGAGCGGGGGCCGGCTGGTCTTGCCGGAAAGCCTGCGCCTTCAATGCCCCATGAGTGGATCTTAGCTCACGCAGCCCAATGTGGAGGGGGGTAAGCCTCGCGTGCTGCAAGGGCTATTCAATCAGCGTGCGAGTCCTGCTGGGACCCTGGAGTTGAACGCACGAGTTTGTGTGTCTAGCCCATAAGGAATTGGATTCTGCCGTGCCTTGGTGTTGCACCTTGGGCTATCTTGATCTAAGTCCAACACCAGGTCATGTTTTCTTTTGGGGGTTGCGGCGTGTTTTCGTACGGTTGCCTCATTCGGGACCTGAAGTCATAGACACCCGACCCAGGTGGCCCTAAGAAGATTCATTCCATGCTTCAGTGTTTGATGCTTTAAATTGCCGTTTGTCCCCATGCGGAACACTGGCGAAGATGGTTTTGTTTATGCAAATGCAACCTCATTGAAAGCATTTGGCACTAAAAGTTTAAGGCTTGCGACGAGAGATCCAAACATGTTGTGGCCTTTTTTGAGCGCAGCCCTAGCAAGGCAGTCATTGGCAAAATTCAACATGCGCTTCAAGATGACCATCGGCATTGCCTCAACAAGTCTAGACCTACTAGTACCTCCTAGAATAATCCCTATTAAGGAGCTGTTAGTCTAAGCGGGAACGTCCCAACCCTGAACCTAAATGTTGCACATATCTTCTTGGGCCCGAAAGCCTCTCCGCAATGTCGTTTGGCCTAGGGCTAAGCCCAAGAGCGGTTTAGGGTTTAGGGTTTAGGGTTCATCCCCCCGTGTAAGCATCCGTGATTGCTCCTTCGTTTGCATGGCCTTTTGGCGACCTGGTGCGCCACGTCCTCGGCATGACTTGTGGGGTTTAGGGTTTAGGGTTTCGGGTTGAGGGCTTAGGCATCGAACAGACACAGATTTGGGCAGCAGGAGAGATTGTTCCCTAAACCCTAAACCCTAAACCCTAAACCCTAAACCCTGAACCCCAAACCCTAAACCCTAAACCCTAAACCCTAAACCCTAAACCCTAAACCCTAAACCCTAAACCCTAAACTTGCTGTCGCCGACCTGGATGTCAAGCTAGCTTGTGGGATTTGGATGTCGATCCGTAAACAATGTGCTCCTTACCTCAGGGGTTTGGGAGGAAAGCCATGGTCTTGTTGGGCGAGTAGCACTTGAATTTCGAAGGTTAGAGTGCGTCCATCTTGGGGTGTAGCTGGCTTTTGATCCCAAACGCGGCTTGTGGATGAGTGCGTGCTTATAGAACAAGAGCTGTCGTCGACACACTGTTGCAACAACATGTGGCTACATCGAAGAACTAAACACTAGGCGCAAACCTCAAACCCCTAAACCCTAAACCCGAAACCCAAACCCGGCACCCTAACGAGAAACCTCAACCCTGAAACTGGAACCCAGAAGCCTTGAGCCTGCCCTACTTGCGCCTGTGATCACGTGTTGCTTCAGGCTTAGGGTTGAGAGTAGGCCGTTAAGCGCTTTCAAGCTCCCAAACCCATGGCAACGCCAGGCCCAGTTTCTGGGTTTACGGAGTTTAGGGTTTAGGGAGGGGTCGAAAAAAGTTAAGGGTTTAGGGTTGAAAAGTTACAAGGGTTTAGGGTTTCGGGTTTAGGGTTGAGGGTTTAGGCCCCCCAAAAAGGAACCCTGTCCCAAGCTGAGGCCGCAACCAGCGCACGCGGATCCCTGGGTGCGCAGCCGACACCCGAAACCCCAAAAGCACCCTTTATACAAAGGTGTTCAGGGTTTAGGGTCTTGGGTCAAGGGTTTCGGGTTTAGCATTTCGGGTTTAGGGTCTAGGGCATGTTCCCACAGAGGGGTCCCCCTCATATGTCCCCAAAATAGTAAGACCCTTTCTATGAGAAGGCCCCCCCCCCCTACACAACACAAAGAAGACAAAGCCCAAAGACAAGCTTAGTTGATAAGTGATCCTAACCCTCATTGTGGGTCTTTTCGGTTTCTTGAAAATTGCCAGCAACCCCAAAAAACAGCTTGGGAGGTTTAGGGTTTAGGGTTTAGGGTTCAAGAAATCCTAAACCCTAGCCCCCAAACCTGAGGTTCGGAATTTGTGGGTTTCCCCGACCCGACGCAAGACCCCCGAAACCTCAATAAGATCTTAAACCCTAAGCCTAAACGCCAAGCCCAAGACAACCCTAAACCTTAAACCCTGAGCCCTTATGGCAAGCCCGGGCTGCCTCATGCTACGGTTTAGGGTTTAGGGTTTAGGGTTTACCGAAATGGGTTTCGGTTGCTAGGTCGGAGGCTTAGTCAGCGGAGCAAGGGTTCAGAGTTTAGGGTGTAGCGCCAACAGCTTGAAATAAGGGCCTTACATGATGTGGGAACACATGGGAACTATCTATGTTGGGTAGGGGGGTGGGGGTAGTATAGGATCTCGTTCGGGTCGAGGGCTACCTGCCAAGCACCCTAAACCCTAAACCCTAAACCCTAAACCCTAAACCCTGAACCCTGAACCCTGAACCCTAAACCCTAAACCCTAAACCCTAAACCCTAAACCACTGCTTCTTTTGCTTCAATGCAGGAGCTGGACTGCGATGCTGAGAGACACCGGGTGCGGCACCTGGACATTGACAAGCCGCCGGGAGGGAGATTTTTTTGGCCCCTAGGGGAGCTCCAGAAGAGGATGCGCAACCCTAAACCCTAAACCCTAAACCCTAAACCCTAAACCCTAAACCCTAAACCCGAAACCCTAAACCCTAAACCCTAAACCCTAAACCCTAAACCCTAAACCCTAAACCCTAAACCCTAAACCCTAAACCCCTAAACCCTAAACCCTAAACCCTAAGCCCTAAACCCTAAACACGAAACACACTAAAACCCCCGAGAACCACACTGCATGAAGATCAGGCTTTCACTTTCAGCTGTTTAGGGTTTAGGGGTTTGAAGCCTTTGAAGCCTCCAACCAAACCCTAAACCCTGTTGGCCCCTTGCACCTTTTAAGCGCTTGGCTTCGGATTCCTTCTTCAACCAGTTGGTTCTTGGTAGGAAATCTGCGGAGTAGCGTTTGCGAATAGTCCCTCAAAGGGTAGCATAGGGGAGGATACAAGGTACTGTATCTGGTTCCCCAATTGTTTCCCTACGACGCTACGAGGAACTCGTACACAAGAACTCGTACGAGAATGTTGAGCCCTAGAGTTTCGGGTTTAGGAATAGCATAGGGGGGCTCCTTCCCGACTTCCCTTTTCATCAAAGCCTTGTAACCCGAAACTCCTAGAATATAGAAGAACCCTAAGCCCCTGAACCTAAACCCCAAACCCTTAGCGCCTTTCATTTCCGATTAAAGAACCCGAAGTCCCTTAACCTAAGCCCTAAAGCCTAAACGCCTATAAATTCCTATTCAGAACTACTATGCCGAGGCCTTGCCGGTCTTCAACTCATCGGCGAGCTTGCCAGCCAGGGCCGCAGGATCACGGGGGGGGGCCCCTCAAGGGGTTCAGTCTTCCCACTCCTAAAGCCTGAGCCCTAAACCCTAAACTCTGGGAAGACCAGGTCGGCTGCATTGCAAGCTTTGTTGCCAGATGCAGGGAGTAGGGTTTAGGGTGTATTTACTATTTGTGGAATTCGTTTATATGTTATAAGTAATAGTTATGATGCAACTTATTATTCAACTAGATTCATCGAGGTCCAGCAGCAGCGGAGACGCTTGCCCATTGCGCGACAGCGATTGGCCATCCTGCACGCAGCCTGATGCCCAATGCTGTTGGCATGCCGTGCTTGATTCAAAACCCAAATTTTAAATACATAAGCCCAACAACCCAAGCCCTAGGCCGAAATCGCTTGCGGCGTTTTTTTTGGCGAAGTATAGTTGAGGGTACCCAGAAATCAGAAGAAGCCTCCTCTTCGAGTTGTTGTTTAGGGTTCAGGGTTTAGGGGTTCGGGTTTGAAGGGGCTTTTTCGGGATCGGGGTATGTCGGGATCAGGAGCTGAGGTCCCTGCTCTTGGGATTCCTTTTCTGAGTTTGCGGTTTAGGATTTTCGGGTTTAGGGTTGAACCCCAATCAAGCAAGTTCTGAAACCTCAGAAGAGGGTTTGGGGTGGGGTGGGGGTTTAGGAGGCTTCAAAGCAAGAGGGCTTGTACTTTTATCTGCTTTCGCACTGGACTGTTAATGCTATGGGGCCCATCTAGAATATGGCCCTGAGAATGTCGGGTAAACCCCCCTAAACCCTAAACCCTAAACCCTCAACCCTCAACCCTCAACCTTAAACCCTAAACCCTAAACCTTAAACCCTCAACCCAGAACCTTAAACCCTTAACAACTCAGAGAGCTGACCGTGTCTTGTGTCTTGAAGGTGGAGACGCACAGGGCGGTGGTGCTCTGTGGAGCTACAGGCATGGCGTGTGGGGGCCAGTGGTTTTTTCCTTATGACCCGCGGCTCCGGTTTAGGGTTTAGGGTTCAGGGTTCAGTGTTTAGGGTTTAGGGTTTAGGGTTTAGGGTTCAGGGTTCAGTGTTTAGGGTTTAGGGTTTGCGTTTCGGGCGATACTTATGGCATGGCCCGGGTTCCCAAAGAATGGGGCATAGTGATATCTCTAAATTTCTCTAAACCTCTAAACCCTAAACCCTAAACATCCCTAAACCCTGGTTACTTTGGGAAGGGGGCTTCCGGGCGCGCCTCACCTCCCAAGTTGCGGGCCTGGGACCCAAAACCCTAAACCCTAAACCCCAAACCCTAAACCCTAAACCTTTAACCCTAAACCCTAAACCTTTACCCCTAAACCCTAAACCTTGTCCGGCAGGTTGTGGCAAGTCCACACAGTTGCCGCAGTTCCTTGACGAGGCCGGCTGGACCGCCAAAGGCCACGCAAAGGGTTGGATTTGGTTTAGGGTTTAGGGTTTAGGGTTTTAGGGTTTAGGGTTTCGGGTGTAGGGTTTAGGGTTTTACGGGTCAGGGTTTGGGGGTTTAGGGTTTAGGGATTGATGGTGTTTGGGGCTTTATGGTGTTTGGTGGCTTTGGCCCACATGAAGCCTTGTGGGTATAAGCAGAGGGCCGTGAGCACGCAAGACAAGGTTCTCAGTCAGCAGCCCGACTAGAGCTACCGTTGCAGCACTTCCCCATGAACCTCGAGTCGCTACGCCAGGATGCTGAGTGTTTAGGGTTTAGGGTTTGGGGTTTGGGGTTTGGGGTTTAGGGTTTAGGGTTTAGGGTTTAGGGTTTGGGGTTTAGGGTTTAGGGTTCAGGGTTTAGGGTTTAGGGTTTAGGGTTTGGGAACCGCGCTCCTGAGGATGGTGGGGGGGGGGGGGGGGGGGGGGGTGGGGGTTTGAGGAACGTCCTTTGGATCCGAAGTGGCTGGCCCAAACAAGTGGCTGGTTCTTAGTAGGGAATGAGGGGAATGATTTAGGGGTTTGGGTTGAAAGGTTTAGGATTTAGGGTTTAGGATTTACGGTTAGGATTTAGGGTCTAGGATTTAGGGTTTAGGGTGAGGTATACAGGGCCCTGCTTCCCTCATTCCCTACCAAGAACCAGGCAGACAAAGCCTGGTACTGTACCTTCTGATTGGTCCCATGACAAGAATTAGCCCTAAACCCGGTTCCAGTCAGTGGGAAAAGCCCAAAAGCAGACCTCCAGCACAACTCAGCCGGGCGTTCGGCCAACACCCGAAACCCCTAAACCCTAAACCCTCTGCCCGGACCTTGACCTCCCCCAAGCCCGAAAACCCTTCAACCGAGCCCCCGAAGTCCCTAAACCCCAAAAATCCTGGACAGCCACCCCTAAACCCTAAACCCCAAGCACCTTAGACTCCCAGGACCTTTAACGCTCCAACCTCCCCATAGCGTCCCCCACAACCCCAAGCCCGACCCCAAGCCCGAAAGAAGCCCTGATACTGCCGACTCCTCCCCAAGCCCCAGGCCCAGAAGCCCCAAGCCCCGAGGCCCCGAAGCCCCGAAGCCCCGAAGCCCTAAACCCTAAACCCTAAACCCTAAACCCTAAACCCTAAACCCTAAACCCTAAACCCTAAACCCTAAACCCTAAAGCCCCCAAACCCCAAACCCCTGGAGGCTACGTGGTGGCTGTCACGGTGCCGAGGCGCCTTGCGGCTGTCACGTTGGCCACGCGGGTGGCGCAGGCAGGGAAAAGCCTGGAGAGGCTACCGGCTACTTCCCCCTACCCTCAATTAGGGTTTCGGGTTTTGGGGTTTAGGGTTTATAGGGTTTAGGGTTTAGGGTTTAGGGTTTAGGGTTACTTTAATAAACCCCCCCCAGATTTTGTTTTGGTTTCCGGGAATCGGAGGGTGGAAAAAATGAGGTGGTCAAATTATTGAATTCCTGCGGTCTGGGGGTCTGGGTCTGGGGTCTGGGGGTCTGGGGGTCTGGGGTCTGGGGGGGGGGAGAGCTAGAAGGGTCTTCAAGGGTTCTCTTAAGCCTGAGACCAGGACCCGAAGGCTGAAGTCTCAAGCTTAAAGGATTCTTATCTTAACCTTAGAGGCAGCCTTTTCTTAAACTTGAGGCTTCCTTGGTTTCCCGCCTCCCCCGTCTCGGAAAATAATATTGCCCGGAGGCTGAAGTCTTAAGACTCAAGGGATTCTTCTCTTAAGCCTCAGGCCGTCTGAAGCTTCTGGCTTCTGCTGCAGGGCTTGAGAGCAGGGGCTTCTGTAGCAAGGCTGTCTGTCTCAGCTTCTGGAGCTGCAAAAAATCTTAAAAGACACCTGCCTCTCTGAAGACCCAGGCCGGAAGGAGCTGTCTGTCTCAGCTCTTGGAGTTGCAGCAATCTCAAAGGAGATCTGCTTCTCCAAAGACTGAAGCTCTGGCTTCTGGAGCTCTTTCAAGCCAGCTCAGCTGAAAAGTCTTCTCTGCAATGGAACTCTTGAGCAATCTTCAGCAACATTGTCGATTCCTGGCCAGCTCAATTTTGCAATTGTCACCCCATTATTATTTTCATCGAACCCCCCTACATGGGTTTGTTTACACACATCAGCCCAAAAACCCAGGCTTAAGGGATTCAGGCAGGGATCGGGGTTCGGGGTCTAGTAATCTTCTAGGACAATTTCAGCTTGCTTCCCCCCCCATATGTATGCCCTATGTGACTCTTCGTAACCTCACACACCCCTTGTCGAAGCCCCCTCGCGTGAGGGTGCATCCCCTGAAGCTGCCCTGAGCGATGCCCGCAACCCCGTCCTAAACCCTAAACCCTAAACCCTAAACCCCAAACCCTAAACCCTAAACCCTAAACCGTCACTCTGAGAGAGGAGATGGGTGCAGAGCTTGGCAGAGAAGTCGGGTACCGAATCCGCCGCGTGGCCGCAGCACGAGGGTTCACTGGCAGGTTGGGTGAACCCTGAACCCGGAACCCTAAGCCCCAAACACTAAAGAAGCCCAGGCCCTCAGGCCTTTTGAGCCGCCGTGCCTTCTCATGGAATCCTCAGCCCTACGACCTATCTTGTGTGAGCATTTGCGCCCAAAGCCCCACGCCTTTCTGCCCGTCGGAGCCCCGCACCCTGTTTTTCGGCTGGAGGTTTAGGGTTCAGGGCTCAGGGTTGAGGGATTAGGGTTTACAGTTTAGGGCATTCTTCGGCTTTGGGGTTTCTGGTGTAGGACTTAGAGGTTTCAGAGGTTTGAGGGTTTGGAGTTGAGGGTTCCCTCAACCCTCAACCCTCAACCCTAAACCCTAGACCCTAGACCCGAGCCCCTAAACCCTAAACCCCAAGCCCTAAATCCTAAACCCCAAACCTCAAACCCCAAACCAAACCCCATGCCCTGCCTGGCCTACCTAGGCTTTGACGCCTGCGTCAGCCCGGGGAGCACCCGAATAGAATTCATGCCGCCTGGGCTGTGAATCCGTTTGGTTTTGTGTGTGTGTGTGTGTGCGCTTTATGTTAGGGTCGCAGGTCTTTGGGTTCCGGGTTTCGGGTTTTGGGTTTAGGGAGGGAGGGCTTAGGGTAGAGACCTTCGGGAGGTATGTGCCCCTTGCATCGTTCTTCTACAGCCTTGATACAGTACTCCCACATACCCACTTATATAGAAACCCTTCATGCTTCCCTTCCCTAAAAGCTCCCGTATACTTCCAGACCCTGTAAACCCAATCCCCCGTCTCCTGAACCCTATATCTTAAACCCTAAATCCCAAACCCTAAACCCTAAACCCTAAACCCTAGACCCTAAACCCTAAACCCTAAACCCTAAACCCCAAACCCTAAACCCTAAACCCTAAACGTCGGGCCAAGGACAGAGGGCATCCTCTTGCGTGAGATGCTCTCCGACCCTTTGCTGACGCGATTTAGCGCCCTGGTTCAAAGATCAGGCATGGTTTAGGGTTTAGGGTTTAGGGTTTAGGGGTTTTGGGGTTTTGGGGTTTTGGGGTTTTGGGGTTTGAGGGTTTGAGGGTTTGAGGGTTTGAGGGTTTGCGGGTTTGAGGGTTTGAGGGTTTGAGGGTTTGAGGGTTTGCGGGTTTGAGGGTTTGAGGGTTTGAGGGTTTGAGGGTTTTAGGGTTTTAGGGCTTTAGGGATTAAACCCAAAAAGCCCCCAAACCCTAGTTGGGTAGAACTGTTTAGGATTCAACAAAAAGTGTCAAACCCAGAGCCCCGAACTCCAAACCCTCTGCAGTGAACTTTGCAGGCCCCTAAGCTCTAAACCCTAAACCCGAAACCTTAAACCCCAAACCCTAATCCTAAACCCCAAACCCTAAACCCCAAACCCTAAACCCTAAACCCTAGACCCTAAGCCCTAAAGTCCCAGGCGTTGTTGTCATCGATGAGGCGCACGAGCGGAGCTCCAATACGGACTTGCTGCTCGGGCTGCCGCCTGTCAGCACTCGGGCTTGGGGTTTAGGGTTTAGGGTTTAGGGTTTAGGATTTAGGGTTTAGGGTGTAGGGTTTAGGGTTTAGGGCTTAGGGCTACGCCTTTCAGTCGGCTGAAGTGTCTTTGGGGCTCAAGCTCAGACCGACATCCTAAACTTCAAACACCTAACCCTCAACCCTACACCCTACACCCTACACCCTACACCCTACACCCTAAACCCTAAACCCTAAACCCTAAACCCGAAACCCGAAACCCTAAACCCTAAACCCGAAACCCTAAACCCTATTGTAGGGTACCACCCAAAAAGGGACCACACAGGGAACTTGCCTCTTCTCCCTGCTTAGGCTGAAGAAGATCTGCCGTAAGCGGCCGCGACTGAGGCGCCTGTGGAGGGTTTTGGGCATTTAGGGTTTAGGGTTTAGGGTTTAGGGCTTAGGGCTTAAGGCTTAAGTTTAGGGGGTTGTGAGGCGTTTAGGGCTCTGGGGGTATGCTGTTTAGGGGTTTCAAGGTGTTTAGTGTTTCGGGGTTTTAGGGGTTTTGAGGTGTCCAGTGCTGTCAGGGGGTGTAGGGGTCCAGGCGCTTGGATCTTCTGTGTGGGCGCGGGCACGCCTCCTGCTGGACCCCCAACTCCCCAAAGTCCACAGCCGTGAGGCTTACGAAATCATTCGCCTCAAGACCCCTCCCCCTTTGCACCCGCAGGGTTTGTTGTTTCTAGATAGACTTTCCGATGGTTCAACCGTAAGTTCTCAGCCCTAAACCCTAAAACCTAAACCCTAAACCCTTAACCCTAAACCCTAAACCCTAAACCCTAAACCCTAGAGGGAGCTTGAGCCTGAGCGTCGACTTCTCTTTTCGCTCCCAGGCTCGTGGTGGCCTCCGCCACCGTAGATGCCTTGGCCTTCCTGCCCTTCGCCCGAGCTCCGGGGATGCTTTGGGGGCTTCAGGGGTTCGGGGGGTTGGGGTTTTAGGGTTCAGGGTTCAGGGTTTAGGGTTTCGGGTTTAGGGTTTAGGGTTTAGGGTTTCGGGTTTAGGGTTTAGGGTTTAGGGCTTGGGTCAGTCCTTGCAGGGGAGCCTTCTGTGTCTAAACCCCACATCCTGCAAGCGAAGCCGAAGTTTCAGGGTTTCGAGCGTTAGGAGCCTAAGGTTTCAATGGGTGGCTGAGGACAAGAAACCCCAAAACGCCTGAACCCTAAACCCTAAACCCTAAACCCTAAACCCTAAACCCTAAACCCTAAACCCTAAACCCTAAACCCTAAACCCTAAACCCTAAACCCCCTAAACCCTAAACCCTAAACCCTAAACCCTAAACCCTAAACCCTAAACCCTAAACCCTAAACCCTAAACCCTAAACCCCAAACCCCTAACCCTAAACCCTAAACCCTAAACCCTAAACCCTAAAACCCTAAAACCCTAAACCCTAAATCCTAAATCCTAAACCCTAAACCCTAAACCCTAAACCCTAAAACCCTAAACCCTAAATCCCTAAACCCTAAAACCCCTAAAGACCTGAAAGCTCCAGAGGAACTTCTTCCGGAGGGGCGCCAAAGTTAGCGCAGGCCGCGCCCCCAAACTGCGTTCCTTTGCTGGGCGTTGGATTCTGGGGTTTAGGGTTTAGGGTTTGGGGTTTGGGGTTTAGGGTTTAGGGCTTGTAGGGCGTTTCGGGACTTTTCAGGTAAGCAAGGCTTCATTTTCCATGGGATTGAACCTTAAGCCCTCAAGCCCATGTCCCACAAAGTGGGTCAGTAGCATGTAGGGGGCAGATCCGCTTCTTCAGTCAAGGGATGAAGACTCGTGCCCCTAACGTTGTACCCCTAAATGTTACCCTGAATATACTCCTAGTATGGCCCTTACATTCCCTTAGGGATCCTTAAAAACGGGCCCCAAAACCCAAGGGTACAACCTTAAGGGTCCAAGCCAGTCCAAGGTAGAACCCCTAGACTCAGTAAGCCTAGAGACCGCAGTGCACCCCAGAACCGCCTCCCTGAAGTAGCACCCGAAACTCCAAACCTATCCATGAGCCCTTTGCAAGCCCGGGGTTTAGGGTTTAGTGTTGGGCATCTGGAGTTATCTGGGTCTCAAGGGCTTGTGCAAAGTCAGCATCAAACGCGGCCATGGCATGCGACGGGGTCGCGTGGCTTCTTTTGTTCTGCAATTCACAACGATCAAGCGTACAGCCATGATCTTTACACTGTACATGCTCTGGCTCCGTGCCGTTGTTTTGAACACATGTGCCCTATGGCATATACGTGACGGCTCAAGGGTCCATACGTAGCCAACCCCTTTGGTTTTGTACACACACGGCGGAGGCATGCGGCCCACGTACTTCCCTGACTCCTTCAAGTCACTCCCGCGCATCAACACTCCTCCTCGTTTTGGAAGCTCTGACAAAATGTCATCTTCGATGCGCTTCTTGGCCCGGTTCTTCAAGGGGAGGATCTCCAAAAGGGAGACGATAGTACAGGGGGTATCCCTCTGCACAACATGTACAATATCGCAACTTCCGAAGTCTCTCCTTGTTCGCATGCCTCAAGCCATAACACTCTTGCCGAACGTGAACTCGATCTCCATGCTCCGCAACATAGAGCGCCGCCGACAAACCTCGGAAAGTCAGCTTCTCTTTTGCTGCACGGGCCGTTGTTATACTGTTTTCTTCCTGTTGTTCTGGCACCAGTGATGTAGACGACGAGGACGCCTGCTGCCTCGCTGCTGGCGGGCAAGCCGGGGCTGATGACACACCCTCTGACTGCATTTCCTCCTCCTCCGCACTCGCCAGTTCACGCTGTAGGGCTCGAGCTGCTTGATCCCTTATCTTTGCTAGTCTTCTGGCCCTTTTTGCGCGTGCTTCTTCACGATCTCCCCACATCCACGTAGCCAGGCCCTTCAGGAATTCCCATACTCCAAGCAAAGCCACACCGCCGACTACCACACAGACGTAGAACTCCAAACTTCCATCCAACTCCACCGGCTTCTTGAACTCCTTCTCGGCGTCCGCTCCCTTCACCATTGTCATTGCCAACATCATCGCCATGATCTTCACTGCCTCAAGCTTTGACACCGCATTCGCTGGTCGGCTTTCACTGACATCGTGCTCCTTGGCGAACTCATCTGCCGAAACCATGCCCCAAAGGCGCCGGAGTACAAGTAGTCTGGCAGCTGGAACTGGCTTGGTCCCCAAATCTGCTGGTTGCCCTTCTCCAGGTTCGTGATGTAGGGATATCCGCTGAGCGAGCACCTCTTGGCGAAGGTACCTCGCCCTCACCCGGAGGTGACGAGTCTTCCAAGTACCCGGTGCGGTACTTGCAAGTCCCAGAGCAGCAGTGTTGTCGACCTTGATGGCCTGGCCCACATCGCTCTGCACCTCCGTGGCCCACGCCTGGATGCCCAGGCCTAGCTGGTGCGCGGCAATCAGCTCGTACAACTCTGACTCCGCCGTAGACAGCGTTATCAGAGCTTGTTTTGTCATTCTCCACGCTACGAAGCCTCCGAAGAGCGATACGGCGCTGCAGCCAAAGGATTTTCCGCTCCCCGGGGCGAAGCTTGCATCCGAGAAAGTCTCCACCGCCTGCTGCGACCCACGATAGACCAAGCCAATCTCCGGGGTGTCGAGGAGGTAACGACGCACCTGGTGCGCCAACCGCACCGCAGCTTCTGGTTTGCGGGTCGCCATCCCACACACATAGCTCGTGGCAAAGCTGATGTCTGGCCTAGTACGCGTGGCCAGCCATAGCAATTCTCCAGCGGCTGTTTGGGCTGCTCGAATACCCTCTTGATCCACGCCACACTCTTCTTCCTCATCTTCTTCCCACTGCGGGATGAGCTCTTTCGTCGCCGGCACCTTCGAGGGTTTTTCGGACTCCATCCCACACTCTCGAACCAGGTCTGCGATGTACCCACCCTGGCTGATGTGGTAGTGGACCTCATCTCCACAGCAGCGGCTTCGCACCTCCATTCCGAGGTAACGGACAGGCCTTTGGCCTACCCATTCCAACTCCGAGCATTTCCATCCTTCACCATCACCTTCTCCTTGGGTGAGCCAGGCATACATGCTCTTGATTTCATCATTCTTGCCCAGGAACATCACGTCATCCACGTAGACGATCATCATTGCCAATGTTTCCGTTTCATCATCTACGGGCACCAACCTCCACACCGCGGGGTCCGTGTCCATCTGGGCAGACTTACACTCCCTTTCTCCCACGCGAATCCTTGCCTTCTTGATGCGTCGATCGCGAAAATTCCCCCACAATCGCGGCGCTTCCTTCAAGCCGTACAGAAGCCTTTCGACCAGGTAGGCAGTGTTTGGAGGAGCACACCCCGCATCCACCACAACCTTGGGGACTGTGATGGCATATCGCACACTGGACTCTGACATCGGCGTCAGAGTAAATGCCGAATTGATGTCCGTAACTGCCGCGCTCCATTTCCTTTGGGCCGCAAACGCCAGGCCACAGCGTAGGCTCTCTGCGCTGGCGGCAGACGTGAACACCTCGGTGTCTCCCTTGATGTAGTTGCCGCAGATGACCAGTCTCGTCTTTCTCTTGTACATGCTGTTCTCGGCAATTACCTCTTTGTCAGGCGTCCTCCTTTCCTCATCTCCACCATCTTGCACGACCGGCACCGCAGCGGCATCAGGAGGCTTCACTGTGTGCACCGTCTTGGCCGGGACCAATGTTATTTCTCCTTGGTCTTGTAGCCGCTTCGCATCAGAGAGGGGAATCGGGACCAGGGTGCCATTGCCCGTCAAGTGGCCGACCTCCTTGGATATGCTTGGCACCCACACGGGTAAATGTGTCTTCACCTCTGGAAGTGCTACTGTGTGCGTCACGGTGAGGGGCTCCTTCAGGTTTCTCAGGATGTCCTCCACGTTTTCCGTGGTAGCATCCGCCGCCACCTTTGCAAGGCGAACTCCCCTTTCCCTTATCTCCTTGAGGGACTTCTCTTCTCGCTCGCACACGTCATTGGACAAGATCTCCTGGACGAAGTCTAACTCCTCCTCTGCGTCAACCAACCTTTCATTCATCTCCACGTCAATGCCCTCGCCTCCTTCTTCTCTTTGATCCGCGCAAGCAGCTTCATGGATGATGAACGCCTTTAACGCCATAGCCCTTTCTTCCCAATACCTCTTTTCCTCCTTATTCATAGGCAATGTAGGCATCGGGGATAGGATCTCTTCCTTGACGTTCTCCTCCTCAGGCTGGTATCGCATCGACCAACTCGTGCTCAAGCTCACCTTTCCCCCGGGGATCATCAACACATCCTCTCTTCTCCCACCACATTCTTTGCCATGGCCCTCACGTTGAGTAGCATCCTCCCCATTGCTCGTTGATGGCTCCAAGCCCCAACATCCCAAGCTCTTCAAGTACTCCACCTTGTCGACATCCAGCTTGTGCGCTCCCGCAATCGTGAAGCCAACCACCAACATCCGAGGACCACTTTCTCCAAGGACTGGCTCATGTAGCCTCGATGGGTTCACCTTCACAGGCCTCGTGAATTCTATCACTTGCCCAGGCACTTCCTTTCCGTTGACGCATCGTGTCTGGTACTCGCCCTTGAACTCGTCCCCCACCTTCAGCTCCTGCCAGACCCCACTTCCCTTTGTCACCGCCAACGGGGACACCAAATTGCTCGACTCCTTTTTGTTGTAGCTATCCCTGTGGATTGGCATAACGGCATTCTTTACCAGGACGATCGACGTGAAGCCTTCTCCCGGGAAGTCATGGCGTAGCAGTTCACAAGCCGCTTCCACCTCCTTCTCATACTTCTTTGTCGCGTTGGTAACATTCACGATGCCGCCATGTTGGTATGCGCCAAGCGTCAGGTACGCCACATCGTCCGATGTCATTGAGCTCTCTCGAAGCTGTGGTCGCTTAGCAATCGCCTCCTTGCTAGACCAGATTGTAGAAGCCATCAATGTCTCCACCAGTTGCTTTCTCCCCCCATCTTGATGAACTTTCAGCTCCCGAACTTCTGGGTCCCGCAAGGTGGTCTTCCCCCGAACTCTTCTCCCGGGTTCCACTAAGTCCACAGCATACTCAGGAGGCATCTCCTCAATGTACTCGTCGTCCCGGACCAGGCGGATATGCAAAGTCCTCAGCCAAGTCCCATCCTGTAGCAAGACCACATGTCCTTCACGAACGTCTTCCGTAGGGCCCAGATAGATTCCCTTTTCCCACCTGAGGTCGAAAGGTCCATGGTCCTTCTTCGACTTGATCCACACCTCGGAACCAAAGCGCACCTTCTTCGCGGGCCTTGCCAGCATTCTCCTGTTATGCGCATCACACGCCTCCTTCATCGCACATGGCCAGTACTTCTTCTCCACGTTCTTGGCGCTCAACAAAAGGCGTGCCTTAGCTTTCAACCATTTCACTCCTCCTTCAGCGACCGCGTTCTGGGAAGGCGCACAACCTTCCGTGAATGTCTGGAAGACGTCCCTCTCCCGACACCACTTTTGTAATGGCTTGGTACGGAACTCCTTGGCCCTGTCCGAGTGGCTTCGGGACAACGGCATGCCACTCGCCTTCAGCGTGACATAGATGTCCTGGACTGCCTCTAGGATCTCCTTCCCGCGGTGCTTCTCCAATGGGATTGCAAATCGAAGGGTCTGAAACTCCATGGGCCTTTTCAAATCCCCGACCAGCTTCTTCCACTTTTCTTCTTGCGCCTTTATCTCTCCATCTCCTTCATGCTCTCCAGGTTCTTCTTCCTCTTCC